CTCTCTCTCAAATAAATAAATAAAATCTTTAAAAAAAAAAAAAATTAAAAAAAAATAATAATAACCTACGGGGTTGCAATGACCCTGCAGTATTATAATCGTTTGCATGTCAATATTTCCTTAGATTGGAGGGTGCTCTAGGGAAAGAATTGTGCTTCTCATCTTTGTATCTTTGGTTCCTAGCATCCTGTATTTGTTCACTAATGAATGAATTGCTAATTAAGTTAGTGGCTTAGAGAAGCACTAGCATTTTTTTCTTTTTCTTTTTTTTTTTAAGATTTTATTTATTTATTTATTTATTTATTTATTTATTTATTTATTTATTTATTATATTTTGTTTATCTCTGTCAGAGAGAGAGCACAAGCAGGGGGAGTGGCAGGCAGAACAGGCAGAGGGAGAAGCAGACTCCCTGATGAGCAAGGAGCCCAATGTGGGACTCAATCCCAGGACCCCGGGATCCTGACCTGAGCTGAAGGCAGATGCTTAACCGACTGAGCCACTCAGGCGTCCCTAGCATTTTTTCATGCTATGAGGATGCTATTGAATATGATGGTACTACAGTGTGCTAAATGTGACGACATCAAAAAAGACTGTACTGCTTAGAGAAAAATATATTCATATATACTCTTTGGTAACTCCACTGATGTTTCTCTGTTTCAGCATTAATCAAATCTGATCTCAAAAGACACAATATAAACATAGGAATTGTGAACGGTGATATTAAAGCTGTAAGTAATGAGCATTTTTATGATTATACTATTGAGAAATGTGTGAAATCAATCTGTCTAGTCAGCTATTTTGTATTCCCGAACCAACTGTTGATCTGTCATAATGGCATATGCCAGATGCTGTAAGGTTTTTTTTATCTCCTGATTCTTTTTGTAGGTACCAGTTGAAGATAGTCCCACAGATCAAGAATCCAAAACTATGATGATGTCCAAGCAGTCAGAATCGGCAATTTGAGGTGAAAGAAGAAGTTAACATCATGTGATAGTTGAGCAGTAAGACTTGGTTTATACATGACAGGAGATGGATACTTAATTGAAAATTACTATGTGACCTCTGACTATAGTTACTATCTTGCTTCATTGTTAACGTAAGCAAGATTTTGCTTAAGAGACTTCGGCTCACATCCTATTAACACTACCATTTATCTACTGAGCATCCCATTGTTAATCCCCTACTGCTGATCAGAAAGTAAGCTTCTTGACGTGTATTTTCCAGAAGTGTTTTCTTTTCTATGGAAAATAGATGGTCAGAGGCTTTCTAAAATAATAATGTGGAGGTCTAATCACCTTAAGTTACAGAGGAGTATATACCATTTAGAACCAAGCGTGCAATATATCCCTAATTGGCTCCCTTTCCATTATTCTGACCAACTGTCCAGTCGGCCTCAGTGGGAGTACCAACATGGCACTTCTAAGCCCTCAAAGGACAGCACTGGGATGAGACTTCCACGGAACCTCTAAGATTTTTCTGGCTTCTTCTATTCTTGTTAAACAGTGCTTTGTAACATGTACTCTCGATGACCATCAAAACTATTCTGTGTACACGTTGAACCCACGACTTTGGTCTTAGACTCATGTTCTAATTAAGCTAAGGAGCCCAGACACAGGCTCATTACCTTGAGTTCTCTGCACTGCCTTCCTACCATGGCCTAAATGCTAAAACTGTTTTTTTTTTCACTCCAACTTGGAATAGAATGATTTTGTACCCACTGCCTTGTTTACTCTCTTTTTTTCAATGCAAGCATGCCTTGGAGATATTGGGGGGTCAGCTCCAGACCATTCAGAATAAAGCAAGTATCACCATAAAGTGATTCGAATGAATTCTTTGGTTTCCCAGTCCACATAAAAGTCATGTTTACACTATTCTGTAGTCTGTTAAGTGTGCAGTAGACTGAAAGAACAATGTACACACCTTAAAGGAAAAAAGACCTCTTGCTAAAAAGTGCTAACCATCATCTGAGCTCTCAGCAAGTCATAACTGCTGATCACAGATTACCTACTAAATAGAATAATAATGACAAAGTTTGAAATACTGCAAGAATTACCAAAATGTGACACAGAGACACAAGCAAGCAGATACTTTTGGAAAAATGTCACCAATGGACTTGCTTGATGCAGGGTTGCCACAAAACCTCCAGTTTGTTTTTAAAAAAAAAAAAGAACACAGTATCTGTGAACAGCAGTAAATGAAATCACAGTAAAACAAGGTATGCCTGTGTATAACTTTCTAGCAAGAAAATGCCATCCTACGTGTCTGTTGGCTTTTTCGTGATTTCTTGCATCACGCCTAATACTTTGGCTTGAAGGCTGTGGAGATAAATCTGTGGTACCGAAGCCCAGAGGTCTCATTTAGTGGAGACCTCTGGAAATGCTGTCTTCATTCTGCACTATCATGGGTATGATCATTCTCCTTCGAGGAATACTGTGCCCGGGTACGTGCTCCCTCGGCGTGTTGGGGGGAGTGTATTCTTTTCTTCACCAGAGTGTACATAGTCTCCACGCTGTTGGAAAAAAGTCTGCTTTGTTACATGCTCAGGGTAAGGAAAATAGGACCAAATGTGTTTCTACAGTGCCTACCACTTCATTTTGTTTACAATGAGAATTTAAATGTTGTTTCTGTCCTGACTGTCGTAAGCTGATAGGGAAATATCTTTACAATAATGACATCTAAGCAGCCATGATATTTACATTACGTCCACATCAACCAAAAAAAAAAAAAAAAAGTCAGATATACCCTTGAATACTCTTGAAGTGAATTAGCAATTCTGATTTGGGCATATTATATGCATTGCTTTATATTGAAATGATAACATTCTCTGTAATCAAACGACAGTAAATTATATAGACTCTTACCCTGGAGAATGTGTCACCAGAAGAATGTAGCTGGGAATCAGGAGCTCTGGGTCAGTGACCTGGATCTATTTTTAGCTGTCCCTGTCACTCGCTGGCCAGCATTTTCCTCATCCATATAATGAATGTGTTCACTTTGATCTCAGAGATCTTTTTTGAATCTTAAATGCCGTCTGTCATGGGCTAGACCAAATCACTGAACCACAGGAACTTAATTCTAGCTAGAGAAGAATCCCCTGGAGAACTGGATCAACAGCTGTGATGGATACTTGGTGGATATGGGGACTTTAACATCTGTTTTTGCTTTTTCATTCAGTTGGTGGTAGTGCAGGCAGAATATGCTGAATCATTAACTTCCTTAGATACTTACAGGTTTTATGGCCAAAAATATATTCTAAGATCCCTCCTAAATAATTATTTTTATTTGTGAACTATCAATTGTTTAAAATAATCACATACTTATTGAGTTCCTGAGCTTTTGAAAAAAATTACAGATAAAAGTTGGGCTACTTTGTTTCTGAAAAGCAGCGTATGCGTATGTGATGTGTGTCTTTGTTGATTAGAAAAAGGATGAAATATTATGTTCCAAAACACAAAATGGATTGATAATTTTTTCTACATTTTGAGTTAAAGTTGTAACATGTCAAACAAGAATGTCATATAATTCTGTCTTATCTTTGGAAAATGGAGTTGGGTAACCAACACTTGTGTAAGTTTTAATGAAGTGCTTTTAGAAAGAAATTGGATGCTTTCAAAAGCTGTTGCATTTATAAATGTGGCAAAACAAACAAACACTAGCTTTTGTGAATGTTGGAGCAATGTCTTTAAAAATATGTTTGTGTATAAACTCAGAGCATTGCCAGAAGAATGCCTGTCTGTATTAAGTCATCTTTCATGTTCTAATTTTTGCTTTTTGTACTAATGGTCGGTATGCTTGTCCTTCAGTGTTTCAGACCTGAAATAAATTTATTTTTTTAATGTTCATTTTGTATGGCTTTTTTTTTTAAGTTCTGATGCTTAGGTACACATAGGGAGTGGAAAGGGACTGTAAGATTTCAGAGTGGGCCAAGGAGGGAGTTTTGTGGAGCACAAGGAAACGCAGTCCCCCAGGGTCAGGACGAAAACAGCAAAGTAGCAAGGGCTTAATCTCCTCTCCTTTGTGCCTAACTCCTCCTTGGGCAGATAGGTGCCTAGCATGAGCCATCTGGGGATGGCTACATCTAAGCTGCAGACTTTCCCTTTTTCTCCTGGTAGCATGTACCTGTATGGGACCTGATACCCCACAGCAGATGTCATTTTTTCCTCAACGCCTTGCTGATTAATATCATAAAACCGAACCATAACTTTCTTCATTGAAAAATCGGGTATGATGAACGCTCATTCTTTATAAGCTTCAGTGAGATTATACATAAAGAACATTTAGCAGAAATACATAAAAGACATAGCCAGCACTCAAAAGTTTTGGCTACTATTTTTATGCATTAATGATTGGTAACTAGCACCATATTACCACTTAAAAGTATTTGGATTTGAAGAGAGAAGTTCAAGTGACTTACATCAAAAGAATATCACTGAGGAAAATTTGAGGTCCTGGAGAGCGGCCAATAGAGAAGATATTTAGGGAGGAAGGGAGTGGTAACCATATTATTCAAATCAGACCTGGCAGGGGGCTGCCCACTCCACATCCTCCTGAAGCCAGTCCTGTGTGCAAATAAACTGGTTGGTCACGATTAAGGAAATTGTCATTGAGACTGGAGGCTGGATGAGAGATTAGGGCGGTGAATCCCAAAGGTTTTGGTCTCAGAATTCTTTTACACTTAGGAATCACTGAGGAACCTGGGATGCCTGGGTGGCTCATTTGGTTAAGCATCTGCCCTCAGCTCAGGTCATGATTCCAGGGTCCTGGGATCAAGTCCCGCATCGGGCTCCCTGCTCAGTGGGGAGCCTGCTTCTCCCTCTGCCTGCCGTTCCCCCTGATTGTGCTCTCTCTCTCTCTCTCTCCCCCCGCCGTGCCAACCCATAAATAAAATCTTAAAAAAAAAATCATTGAGGAACCCAAAGAACTTCTGTTTTTCTGAGTTATGGCTGTTAATATTAATCATACTAGAAACTAAAACAAAACTTTTATTCATTTAAAAATAACCTCATTACATCTTAATAAATTACATTTTATGAAAAATAATTATTTTCCAAAGTAAATGTAGTGAGAACAATGACACCTTTTAACGTTTAAAGAGGGCAAAAAATCTTCCACATCTGGCTTCATAGAAGGCCCCGGATTCTCCTACCAGATCCTACATTCAGTCTGTAAGGATAGGCTATTTTGACATGTTCGAAGAAAAGCTTTGCACACATGTGCAGTTGGAAAAGAAGTATTTTAGTGGCCTTTTCAGAGAATTGTGGGTAGTCTTTAATACAATAGCAAGTTGGAAAGGGTAGTATCTTTTTTTTTTTTTAAAGATTTTATTTATTTATTTGACAGAGCAAGAGGGCACAAGTGGGGGGAACAGTAGAGGGAGAGGGAGAAGCAGGCTCCCCGCTAAGCAGGGAGCCTGATGCGGGGCTCGATCCCAGGACCCTGGGACCATGACATGAGCCGAAGGCAGACGTTTAACCATCTGAGCCACCCAGGCGCCCCTGGAACTGGTAGTTTCTTAAAGATTAGTTGCTATGTGGACTCTGGAACCATATCAATAAACCTTTCCTACTTGGTTAACATTAAAATTTGATGGTCTGTCTTGTCCTTCCAATAGGTCTTTAACCATGTGTGGTTGTAATATTATGCTTTGGCGTTTGCAAAGTATTCTTTCACTGAGTTATGCAGCTCTTCCAACTTTGATAAATCTCATCATATGATGCCAGATAAATCACATTTGTTAATACCTCTGATCTCATCAGAAAGTCTCAGTGCTGGGAAGCCGTCAAGCTCATACAAGTCTCTTAAGCCTTGTTTTGGCAGACGCAGGGTTTCTAGAATGCTAATTTTAGTTTGGAAACTTGATTCTTGCCATTGGGGTGGGAAAAAAAAATCTGTCAGTTATTTTCTCGAAGTGAGGGACTCGCTTCATTGCTTTTTGAAAAAATACCTGCCAAACACCCATCTGAATAACCACAATTTATCTGTCAACCATCCTTTCAAGTAAAAATGATGTTCTTTGAAAACAAACCTCTCGTTCAGCTTGCATCGCAAATAAACGTACCAATGCTTTTCCTCGAAACGAGCCTCATACTTGGGCGTATGCAGAAGTGTGTCATGCGTCCTTGCCATTTCATCCCACAATATTTAAAAGTCATGTGCCCAAGGATCAGCATTCAATCGCTTTTACTTTTTTCATCAAGGATATTCTTCAGTGGCTCTGACTTTCTTTTTTTCGCTGCCGCTGAATGGCGGGGAAGAACCCAGTGGCCACCAGAGCAGCTCGGTGCCTGGGCCTTGATTCAGTGCGAGGGTGCAAGCGCTTTCTTCCATCCCTGCCTCTGCATCGTCAGAGCAAACGTCAGTGCAGTGAAAAAGGCAAATCACTTCTTTCTAGGATTACAAAAGAGTTTGACATGGGTCTTGGGGACTCCCAAGGTTCCGCCGACCACACTCTGAGAACCACTCTTCTGGAAAAGGGATCGGCTGTCATCAGCGCAGATCAGGGATCAACAGCATGAGAAACCAGGGAGAGTGGACAGGAGAGCAGGGTCAAAGTTCAAAGGCCTCTAAAGCGGAGCCGAGATGGAAGAAGAGTCATTGGAGACACAACAGAGCCTGTGGGGAAAGAAAGGCAAAACCCCGGGTAGTTTTGTTAATGAAGCCAAAGAGAGGAGAGCAGGCAGGTGCAAACGAAGATGCTACCTGAAGCCATAAAAATGTTACTAGTACCTCTTTTCATAAATTATAATCGGTGTGATATTTCAAGATGAAGTTTCCAGTTTTATTTAGCTTTATAGGTAGCTAAAAGTTAAGGCCAAGGTCATGAAACTGAAATAAAACAACTATAGGGACACCTGGATGGCTCAGTTGGTTAAACGTCTGCGTTTGGCTCCAGCCATGGTCCCGGGGTCCTGGGATCGAGTTCTGCATCGGGCTCCCTGCTCTGCAGGGAGCCTGCTTCTCCCCCTCCCTCTGCCGCACCCCCTGCTTGTGCTCTCTCTCTGTCAAATTAATAAATAAAAATCTTTAAAAAAAAAAAAAGCCGACTATATAGCATTGTATCTGTTACCATCACCCTATAATAAACAGGGGCTTTAAAATCTAAGACCTGGGGCGCCTGGGTGGCTCAGTCGTTGGGCGTCTGCCTTCGGCTCAGGTCACGATCCCAGAGTCCTGGGATCGAGTCCCGCATCGGGCTCCTTGCTCAGCGGGGAGCCTGCCTCTCCCTCTGCCTGCCATTCCCCCTGCTTGTGCTTGCTCTCTGTCTCTCTCCCCCTGGCTCTCTGTGTCAAATAAATGAATAAAAAATCTTAAAAAAAAAAATAAAACCTAAGACCTTTCACTAGAATTACAGTCATTCTTATTTTCCACAGCAGGCAAAGCTCTCGAGGTAAATAACCCATTTCCGAAGCCCGTTGTTTCTCCTGTAACCCGCCGGCCAGTCTCAGGTTCTCGGATGGAGACCCCTGCCTTTACCACACTGGGCCTCCCTCCCTGCGAGGGGAGCTAGCCATCCGTGTAGGTGACAACCTGCCCTGAAATGACTTCAGGGTTCTTGACGGGATCCTGTGCCTGGAAGATGCATTTATGATACCTCACAGGAGATAAAACACCTTTGGGTCCCCAAAGAGAGGCAAGGTTTCAAAGCACACTGACCACCAAGAGGGAATACTTTGTCTGAAATCTGAACTAGGGTCTAGAGATATCCTTGAGCAGGTCTGAATAGAAGGGAGGTGGGGATGTGATCCGGAGACCCTAAGCCTTGAGGAAGGAGGAGAATGATATTGGTGGGGGCGGGGGGGAAGGGGGAAGACTTATTAAGATGGTGAGCTTCGTTTTCCACTTAGACAAATGTTGTATTAGGCCTCTGTCTAATTTTGTTTGATGTATTCATTTGCAATTCCCCTTTCATTTGTTACTTTAAGCCCATGATGAAATGGTCATTGTAAAGAGAATAAGCTGTTAGAAGCCAGTAGAAACTTGATTTCTGGCTGGAGCCTCCAGGTCTTGATTAATAAAGGCTGCCTGAGCACCTCTCTTTCTCAGAGACATGTCTGATTCCTCCAGGGACTGAAATGGCCCCTAACCCCTGAGATTAGCTGATAGATTAAATTTTCATAAAGCCTCATCATGCATAAAAGTGAGGCTGAAATAAGAGTGGCAGTGATTTCTTTTTCAGTGGAAAGCCTGAATCCTTCAAAACTTATCCTGACCCAAAACGAAGACTGATAAGCTCTGGATCATTCTGGCCAGGGCAGGATTTATGCGTGGACAGAGGTTCCCAACACACAATCAGATTAATATTAGAACATGTCCCTGGAGGGGTGACGCATGGGCATAGATTCCTTACCTGGAAACCTATGCAGTACTTGGTACTATTATTCATAGGACAGTTTGGTTTCGTTGTATGGCTAGATTCTGTTACTGATATGCATATCTGTTATTGATATGCATTATTTTTTTGCATTGTAGGCCCTTGGAAAGCATCCCTCATGGTGTGTAGGGTAAAAACATGTCCTCTGGGAACCTAAAGTCTTCCGTGTGAAACATGACTATGATCTTGGGAAAGGAATTTAAAATGAATTTCTGTTTCTTCTCTTACTAACTAGAATAATATTTCCTAATTTGCAGGTTTGCGGTGAGGATGAAATTTAACTAGAAGGCACACAATAGATCCTTAACAAATCAGACGCGTTGTTATTCCCATTGTGAGAAACAGTAAAGGTAGGGACTGACTGCTGATAACACTTGAGAGGCAGTTGACTGATTTGGGAGAACATGTGTTTAAGTGTTTGAACTTGACATGATTTATAGCAGCTGCCTTTAAAATCATTGATATCCAAAG